TCTGAAAACGCTTGATTTCATGTGTTTGCCTACCCAAATCAGAGCCACTGCCACTTTAAATTTCTATTGGGTGAAATTTGAAATGCACCAATTTTTTAGTCAGAAGGGTAGCTGCTCACTTTTCAGTCAGTCAACCGGACCAAACTCAGATAACCAGATAGAATTCTCTAGGTGTCAGACCGTGAGTTACACCCCGGACCCAATTTCCTCACAACCCTATTCAATTCCCTTTTCAATACAGCTCTTGCATTGCCTCACTGTGAATTCTCGACGTCTTGTCGGATGATCTCACACCGCTTCGGACAGTTCAAATCAGATATTTCCTAGCAGCCTTCTATTCTAGAAGTTGCATCTGCTTATCTCATTTTTATGAACCTTCTACGCGAAGTAGGACCTATTCCCACTGAATTGCGTCTCTGCCGCTCTGCGACCGCGCGCTTTCTTTGCACGTATTGTGGCTAGTGTTGATTCAAAAAAAATTTTCTGCCAACATACGCAAAATTATGCGGGTGGTCTAACCTACTACTTTATGGTTCACAAATCAAGTCTGGACTCTCAAATATCCATTTCGAATGACAAATTTCTGTATTGATTGGACTCGTTTTCAAGTGGTTCAACGGACTCTTCGACGTGAGAGTATTCCGTGAGGTGCAATTACCTCGGCCAATCTTTATCTCTTCCTCTCTTGGTCTTGTCTGATCCCCGTTTTTTTTGCTCATCGCTTGTTCTCGAAGTGTTTTCTTCAAGGATTTTTGACGCAGTGTGCATAATTACTTACTTACTATATACTTACTTTTATGCTCATATTTTATCGTTTGTTGCTTTGCAAGAATATGTTCTCCTAATCCGTTTTCGCATTCCTAAGAAGAAAACGTGGATTACTGTATTTTTGTGAAAGCCAAGATGTACATGAGAACTATGAATAAAATTATTATAAATATTGTATTGAGTTATAGATGAGATTATTGGGGGAATGAAGGTGGAATAGTACTATGAGCCCTGTCACCATATGGTCTGGAGATCAAAAGTGGTTGATCTGAAATGAAATACGGTTCAAAAAACAGTGCCTTTCATTTCTATGCTCTACTAACTGGTACAAGTATTCCCTGTACCGAATTGACCGACTGACTAACTGACCGGCTAACTGATTGACTGACATATTTGGCATATTTCAATTGACACTTGCAAGCCATTAACAATTGTTACCATTTCTAGTACAATTAAAACCCGCTTCTATATTGGGCAGGAGCCTTGTACATGCCGCATCCCAAAAAAGTGTTTGATCGGCACTTGATCGCTTGCCATACTAATTTCAGAGGAAAACGTTTAGAAATGTGAATTTTGGCCCTACAAGCTTATCGCCCCAAAACGTTTTGGGGGAATGTGATGAATTGAGTTTTAGAAAACATGAGAACTTACCATGTTTGTCTCGATAACGTTCACATCCAGAAAATTCCCTAGATCCCGTCAAATGTGCTTAGTGAAATGGATATCCATAGTGAAACCGGGCAACAGATAGATATCTGTCAGCCTAAAACACCACAGAAACAATCAATTTCCATGTTCATCACAACAAAATTACACCTACCGTACTTTTCATCCACTACGATTCGACGGCAGTTTGTGCTGCATCGATTCCTTCAGCTATATTTGGAAGACAGATAATCGAAGAGGGTGAAGGTGATTGATCGGCATAGGTCTTTGCTGGCTGATCTCCTGATCAGAATCGCTCGATGCTGATGACGGCCTTCATGGACTTCGACTCCACCGGGGAAGCAGGAGGGTCATCCACAAAAGCAGAGTGTAATCTTCGACCTGATGAACAGATTAGTACGGATTCCATTGGAAATTGTGCTTTTTTCTGAGAAAAAACTGGTACAATTGAGAGTTAATTCTGAAGTTTTGATCTTATGCTATGCACGACCGATTTTGTGGGTTCAATAGGACGCCCATTTTCAGTCAAGACCGCAGTGCTACAGTCGAATTTGTGTGCTGCGCCTCTCTTATCGTTAAACTTACACTAACATTTTAAAAGTGGACAATTTTCCGGAGATTCCCTTAATTCAACTACTACCCGCAACTACGGTAATTGTCAGTTGATGGCTGAAGAAGCCGATATTCGAATACCGTGCTTTTGAAATGAGCTGATTTATCAGCCATTCATATCATGCAATCATGTATCATACATATCGATCATCCCCTTCCATCCCTGCTGATGAAGTTCATTCTCTCCTAGTACTTCACAACAATCAGCCACAAAACATAATGGCTGAAGGAAATGGTCAGTTCACCTTCTACTTTAACGGTTATAGTATTGGAACCTGAACTGCATCTACTGAAAAGCCTTTAATGCGTAAACAGAATATCGAAGGCGATTTTGAAGACAGTTGCTTTCAGGTTTCAATTTTCGTCGAAGATTCTTATTCAAAATCAAAGAAAAAGTAGGCAATGTTGAAGAGACACAGATGACACCGGAATTTAATCATGTAAGTCGTAGTCTATGAAGGTGCGTTTATACTTCGCGTTGCGCTCAAAAACATAACAGCTGGAGAAAAGGATCAAATGGAAGCAAGGCTCTGGAATAGAAAGATAAAACTTAAGAAAGCATTTCATGGTAGAATCGACCGTGCGAAAGAGAGAGGCGAAGAGGAAAGGATGCATCCCCATCTGACCGTTTTCGATAATGCTTCTGATTTCTAGTCCTTTCGAAACGGAGATGATATAATCTCGAGCAATCAATATGCATCTTAAACATTACCTCCTACTTATGTGCTGCGTGCTTCACAATGAGAAACGCGATCCACAAGTTAGCCAATCGTATTAGGGCACCGGGTGAAGCCCGTTTTCAAGTGCAGGCCTGGTAAAGTAGGTCACTGACCGGTACTTTCGACTTGCACGCTAAAGTCGATACTGCACATTTCTGTATGCAGTGAACGGTCCTTCAGATGTCTAGTAGTTGAAATTCATTATTTACAGGACATGCAGCGATACGACACCTACCACGATTCAGTTTTGAAACTTGTAGATCTCTTGGAAGCCGCTAATCAACCAGATCCAACTGTTCTTTCGACAGGAGTAAGACCATTACAGTATTATTACATAGGGAGGCAATTGCTTTCGAAGGTGGAGGTTATTGTACTACTCAATTTCGATCAGAACACTGCCAGGTGAGCTGGTAATGTAGAACCCTGAGTGGCCCCCCCCCATACGGGGTTGAGGAGTTCATTTCACCATCTGCCATCCCCATATTTGTATTGTTTGGTAATATAATCCGTCGATCTAGTTAGTGATAGCAGTTGTACGGCTGTGAATGGAGCATTTGCCCATGAGTTACTATTCAAGTGATCAGAGGGATACTTCCCTTTCCAAACCATATTCCATATTATGCAGGTGCAAAAAGGTACTACCCATCGAATGGGCCCTACACTCCTAGATGGGCACTCAATTTCGCCCAGCCTCCTCGATTTCGCGAATTCCTGATTTAACGCACTTCCCACCGTCTATTCAGTAATGGGCACTGCCCAGTTAGAACATGGCCGACATTACTGAGTAGACCGTGTAAAAAACAATGTTACAAGCCCCCTGGACAAAGTAAAAAAGGAATGCGGAGATCGATACTCCGTCAGCGAGCGTGAATCATGAAGCCTGCTGCCAATGGATCAAATACCATGTCGGATGGACACGTCGTTGTGGACCACGGCGGCGGTCTACATAGTCTCGGAAATCTTTCAATCGAATGACCTCAAAAGAAGTTCCAGCCAGAAAGGCAGAGGCAACTCTGGAGTGTTGAAAACATGAACAGTGATTTCCTTAGCAAATTTTCGTGCCAAAAATCACATCAGACTCGAAACACGAGTTCCGCTCAAGGTTTCATTAATTGAACCAAAAAGAAATGCTTCGAAGCATGGGCACAACAGAGGCAACCTTCTTTATAAGAGAGTGTTGATAAAACTTCCCAGGAAAGTTCGGTAACAGCTAAGTGGTTCCAGAGGATGAGAGTCTAGACTAACCCAAGCCGAATCCGTTATCCGGACCATGCGTGTGGCAACGGCGCCACATTCTACTATACCATCCTCACTCTAGAATGTAATTCCCTTCGAAATCGAAGGTGAAGCTGACCAGATAAAAAATGCTCCTGTCCGGAACTGGCCAAGGAAACATGAAGGGGACGAATTTAAACCGTTGGCTACTCCTACACCATAAGTTCCATGTCTTTCAGCGAGTCGAATGTCCAAAGGATGAAGATCCCTTGGATAAGGTCAGAAAAGCACTGGAGGCTTTTCAAGTAAGTAGCGAACTTAGCTATTGAATAGCGAGTACCGAATGACTGGAGACTTTCTAGCAATTTCTACCTCCAGACAAAGCGGAAAAAGTTGTTAAAATTTGCGGTATACTGGAAAAGGCAGCAAACTGCAAGAGAGATTATCAGGTAAATACTGCACCGGCTTATGCAACACCTTAGGAATAAGTGCCAGCTTGCCGATCACTTTTGAAGTACTCTCAAACCAGCCTTTTTCACCGAGAATCCGAAAAAAAAAACCAAGTTTCTCCTCTCAACCTTCGATTAGAGCTAATAAGGGACTTAAATGGAGAAACAGACCAACTAAAAAATTATCAAACGCATGTCCTCACGAAGGGGCGATGGAGACGATGTTCATCCATTTTACCTGGACCCGTTTAAAAATCCCCACTAAAAATCCAGTTTATGACATTCTGATCCGTAAACTGGGGTTCTATGTATAATGCTTCTAGATAAAGAAGCGGGCATGTATCCGGCATCTACGTCGCTTCGACTCACTCGAATATAAAACACTCGTTGAAAATCGTGAACAATTCAACAAGTAAGTCGGTTTGACACTTGGGCATTTCCTAATAACAGTAAAACATTCTCATTTGTAACTTACTCATATTCCCATAGAATCAGGAATAGTCGGCCTTTGACGTACTAGGAAACAGAGTTGTTTGAAACTAGAAGGAAAATGGGAAAGCCTTACCATTCATAAGTCTAGAGCTAAATCCAACATGGACATGGCAAAGCACGATGTGAAACAGGCGAAGAATACAGAACAAATCGAACGGCGAGCAGTACTTTACCAACAGACTGTAGAAGTATTCGATGAGCATTGCAATAAGGTGAGCGGCACCTGAGGCTTATCATTCTGCAAATTGAGCCCCGTTCACAGTAAGTGAAAGGAAAGCGTGCGATTGCGTCGCGTCAAACATAGTTACGCTTTCTGCATTCGCTGACTAGTTTTTTCGCTAGTGCGTAGTGTGACTCGATCGTGTGAAGACCTTAGATTTGATCGGAGTGCCGCGGAGCGATGCAACTTACCGAGTCAACTAACAATGACTGGCCGCGGGACGGGTCAACTAGCTAGCAGCTACCGCACGCAGGGTACAATGCCACATTAGGGAGATGTACAGAATCTATGTATTTCTCACCGGTTCAATAAGCGAGTGGAATGTTCCGTTACGATTCCTTCCACGAACCTGACCAAAAGGATGCTGAAGAAACTATCGACTATCCTGAATAATTACTTAATTTCAGCTTATTAAATTACTCGAAGAACTGCCAAGTATCAAAGAATCGCACTCGAAGGATCTCAACGAACTAACTCGTTGTAGTCGTGAATATCATCTTGCAATGGCTGCTATTTTTAAATAATCATTAAACTCGTTTATGTGACAAAATCATTTCGAAATATTGCGAATAAACAAACAACAAAACATCAAAAACGCCTCGAATTGCATTCGAAGGCTTCCATGTATGACAATGAGATGAGAGTCGGAGGTGAGCAGAAATTAGTGGAAATCCCTATAAAAAACGCTTTTGTCATGAATCAGCTAGATCTGTCTGGCCAAAGTATTCGCTGACGATCGCAATGAACCATGAAAGTTCGCGGATCTCATCCTTCCTGAAGTGGCAAATCTCAAAGCAATAGGCTTTAACAATGTGAATTTTCAAGCAGTACCGTTCAACATCAACAGAACTCCGAAGGCTCCTGCACAAATTCGCCAATCCTCGGATGGCAGCACAGACGTCCGGTAACAAGGGTTTTTGAACGATGAGCAAGAGAGCAAAGAGCCATTCACGTAGCGATCGTGTAAATTCCCCGCATTCGGCCCATTCGACAACATAAGGCAGAATTGCATTCACCTAAACTTCATAGGTATAAAACAGAGGAAAGCTATATGTACATGCCACAAGGCAGGAACTCCGCGCAAAGGGGTGACACATGTTCATCTGTCGATTCATAGCTCCTATTTAATCGTTTGACCCAGAACCAGTGACGAAAATTGCATTGAAGATGTGGTTGGAAGGCTTTCCTGTCCTTGGAAGTGGGCTACAAGAGGTGTTTACCTGCTTTATTAGTGGTTTTCGAGGACCACAAGAATTCAGGTAAAAGTCATTAATACAATTCATCGGATCGATAACAGGATTCAAAATCTTATTGGGTCGAGGTATGCACAGAAGGATAACACTAGTGATTAAGTTCTATGACAAGGAAAATAGTAGGTTAAGTTGTGAACTATCAAAATATCAAATTTATGAATCAAAATTATTTCCTTACCGTCGATGATGAAATGCTCAGAACAACAGGGACAGCTGGTGGAGTTCCTTGATGATGTGGAAAAGCCGGCGAAAAGTGAGTGCATTTCGGATGACACCGTCGTAGCAACAGTTCTTCCCATTGTTCCGCATCTGTCTAGAAGAAAACGAAAAGAATGCGCGAAAAAGAAAAGAATAGCTCTTATGAAGGACATGACTTTACCATGTAGGATATGTCTCGTTCAGATTTCCGATTCTTCTAGGTTACCCAGAAAAATCGAAAATCTGAACGAGACATATCCTCATGGTAAAGTCATGTCCTTCATAAGAGCTATTCTCACTTCATCCATTTTTTAATCATCAAAAGTCATGCATAATGTCACGTATTGTTGAAGAATGTGTTCAAGTGACCTAAAGGGCAAGGAAACCACTTTGGTAACGCAACGTCTATATCCCACAAGGAAAAAAGATCCTCTTAAAAAGCTGACCTAGGAATATTTCCGTACCTTCTATTTAATTTTCATTCCAAAAACGTAGCGCGCATAGTAATGAACACGATATATGTTGAAGCAGAGGTTTCTACACTTTTTCAGGAAGTGTCGTCACCACTGTTGCTTAGACCTAGTTCCTTGCTTTTGTTCAAGAGGTGCCACCTTGGCTATTTCAGTCCACTTTCCATAAATAAAATAATCGTGATATTCAAGCTGATGTTTATGTGCGCTCTTGAACCGCACTGGATACTTTGGAAGTATAGTAACAGAGTGTGAAGCCGGAGAAAAAANAAAAAAGAATCTTTAGGACTCAAAATCTTTCTACAAGAAAGTCTAAGGTAGGTAAACCTATAGAGTGGAAAGCTGGCCATAAGAGAAAACTGGCTCAAAGTGAAATCTGCCTTTGAACTCTGTCGCAGCTTCAAGCATTACTCTCTCCGCCTTAGAGGTTGATGACGTCACAAAAGAATAGTTAAACGCAACTACTTCCAAGTAACACCTTCACAAGAAACTTGTGATGTCGCCTGGTAAACAAAGTTGCCCTGTACGAAAAAAACTCACTAATGATGGCCAATGAAGCCGTAGAGCTGACTTTCGTGGCGCCGATTCCATACGAGAGCGCATAAGGGAGAACTCTGCCACCTTAGCTTTGCGCCATTCTTGTTTTGGAGCACGTGGATCGTGTACTACAACACTTGGGGTGTTCGAACTGACTTCTGCTTCTGAAGCTGATGTTGAGACTTCTGGTCGAGCCATTGCAACACATGATGGTCCACGAATACGGTCAGCTATAACCTAAAAGATAGCGAAATCGGCGTAAAGGTTAGCCTGAAGGCGCGGAACCACCGAGCATCACTAAAAATGGGAAAAAAATTCCACAAAAAAGGCAATGGAAGGGCATGACCATATTTATGGAAATGTAAGATG